TTGTTGACTGGAGCCTTTCACAGCTCAGCGTATTAATATGGTTTTGTTTTATATATCTCGTTTTTATACTTTTCTGCTGGATAACCATCAGCAGAAAACCTTGGTCTTGGTTAAGACCAAGATAAAACAAGACCTATATAACAAGAAATGTAACTTTTGTATCTGATAATGTCAGTCAAGTACCCTCAGGATTTATCCTGAAACCCGGTACCACAGGTTGCAGATCCTTTGTCAGTGTCAGCCATATGGATGAGTCATGGTCATTTCTTGATCAATTTGCTTTCTATGAAAACCTGAGAGCATGTTTTCTCTCCATGTGACTCTCCTTAGGCACACTCTACACCATTGATTACATTGCTCTATGGCCCCATAATCTCCTTGATTAGAAAATTTGGGAAACAATTGTGTTAAATGGTGTTATAGTATAGGTTCTCCTATGTCTTAAGTCTTCACTGATCTTGAAAGGCTATACTCAAAATGTTGGCTGTCCTTGCAGCCCTTCTATTTGTCTAATTTTTGGTCTGCAAACTCAGGTTGTTAACCCTCCAGAAAAGAAGCTTATTATTACCCTACAACATATGCAGTTGGGTTTAACTTCACTATCTGTCTGAATATCGAACATCTTAGGCATAACAAGAAACAGGTATTTTCCATCAAGTATTGATATGTTAAACATTCATTTCCTACAAAATATGGAGATAAAAATTTAAAAAGTGAAAAATACTTAAAGAATATGAATAAGCAATTACATATTTTTCCACAGAAATTTAGAAATCTAACCATATACAGCATTGTAGCAGGACAGTCCTGTGACTTTTTTTTCTTTTTCTTGTGTCTTTTTTTCATTTATTACTGGGCAAAATCTCTACTGTCATACAGAAAGATGAAACAGCATCACATCTAGCTAATAGAAAAAGGTAATATTCAGACTTAGGAGCCTTAAACATATTTAATATGATTTTAAGTATTCTTTTTTCACAAATGTATCAAAATAACAATTTAAATTATCTAAATATTTGTACTTAAGAGGAATAGATGAAAATGGAATGTATTTTACCTGAATAAAAATTGTTCTAAAAGTCTTTACAATATAGTTTTTAGGCTTCTACTCTCCAAGGGTGCCTGTTAGGCCTATAATTGCTATTTAAATTTGAATGACGCTACAATTCACCCAAGCCACATTTCAAATGTTCACTAGCTTTATTGCCAGTGACTACTCAAGAGAACAGTTCAAATCATAGAACTCTCCAATTATTGCAGAAAGTACCTATTGTAATGTGCAGATCAAATCATTCTCTAGACCATGCATACAGCTAGGTCTTCCCAGCAGCACTTCAGAGCCCTAAGTGAAAAACAAAATTTATTTCATTTTTTTATCGGGCATATTTCCTCTGTGGTTTTAAAATCAGGATTAGAAAGATAAGGATGAACTCCCCAGAAGGCAACAAATTAAAGTCCTCATTTAGTAGGGTTATGATAAGAGAAACTTGTTACTATTGGTGACAGTGAAAAATAAAAAAAGGAAAGTTAAGGGATAATATTTAATTATGTGGTAGTATAAAAAGTATCAACAAATTTATTAAAGCTATAAGATTTGAACTAGGAAAATAATATAAAGGCTGTATAAAGCATGAATGATTTTATTTACTTATTTATTTTGTGGTACTAGGAATCAAATCTAGCACACATACTAGCAAAGTATTCTAACACTGAGCTGCATACCTGGCCCAACATATAAAGCTATATTTAAGAAAACAGCAGTAGCAACAATACCAAATGTCTGTTTGTGGGATGTGTTTGGTTGTGTCTTTGTGTCAAAAGTCTCAAAGCAAAACAACAATGGGACATAGGACTCAGCCAAAAATTTTCTGTTTCATCTATAATTTTATTTTGATTTTTATTTTAGACCAATGGTGGAGAGAAGCGGCCTGCCTCTGATATGGGGAAAAAACCAAAAACTCCCAAAAAGAAGAAGAAGAAAGACCCTAATGAGCCCCAGAAGCCTGTGTCAGCCTATGCATTATTCTTTCGTGATACTCAGGCTGCCATCAAGGGCCAAAATCCAAATGCTACCTTTGGCGAAGTCTCTAAAATTGTAGCTTCAATGTGGGATGGTTTAGGAGAAGAACAAAAACAGGTAAGAAGGGGTTCAAACTAAAGTGGGAATCAATATGGCTAGATACTGTGTATGTACTTTAAAAGAGATGGCTTCTTTTGGCTCCAGGAAAATTCCTCAAATTACAGACCTATTTAAGAAATGTTTGCACAATTTTATATTCCTTTATTATTCTTCCACAAATAGCACATACATCACTTTGTTTCAAATTTACATATTATAATTATCTTGGAAGGACTTTTTCCTTTCCCAAACAGGATTACACGATTCCTTAATGTTCCCTATGGATAAAAATGTTTCTCATAGGGCCTGAAAAATAAAAAAGTCTCAAAAGTATTTTGAAAACTATCCACACTTCTCTTCAGCACTTACCATTTATCCCTTTATCATCAAAACCTTCAATGGTCTTTGCGAAATGAATCTCAAATTTAAGGTTCATTCCCCAATGACCACGAGCATATGTCAGTTTCCTATATATATTTATAGCATATTGCCAGCCTGTGTCAAATAGGTCAAGAAGTCTGAATTTTCTTTCTTTCATGGCAGAGAATCATGGTGTGACTGAGGGTCATGCTTAGGGAAGGCCCTGTGAAACATCTCAGTAGTGGCATAAGCAGCTCAGAAGCTCTTAAGGAAATAAAAAGACTCAATCTTAGTCTCAAAAAGTGCTGGGACTACAGGAATATACTACCAGATGTAGACTTCATAGTTCTAAAAGCATTTTTGCAAAATTGATTTCATTTTTCTATTCAGTACCCGCAGGATAAAATTGTTAGCCAACTATTACAGGTTATGAAATGGAACCACGTAAATTAAAATAATTATTTTATTTATTTATTCAATAACTATTCATTGATCATTTATTTTCTAGACACTTTTAGAAACTATATTTAGGGTGAAAAACAAGCCCCATTATGCAGAATGATTTGTCTAAGATCACATGACTGGTAATGGAATAATGTGACTAATACTCATGACTTAGCTTGCAATTCTTTTCTTTAAAAATCCTATAAATTAATGGTAGTTGTGATAAAACAATTGCTATGAAACTGTAGAACTTGCCTGTCCAGTTTGCCATAGTATCCCTTTCTTATAAGTTAAATATGTCATCTATGATGGAACTTGCTATATATTTTTCTTATGTCTTTCTCAAGATTTCCAGCCTAAAGGAATACATTTTGGGTTAGATAGCATTTTGAGACTACAAAGGAAAAAAAGCTTTTATTGTGTCTCACATTTTCAGATCATTATCACTTGCCTCTGTTGCTTCTAGACCAGAAATATCATAAATATCATGGTACAAGGGTTTCGTAAAAGAAGACTGCTGATCTCATGGCACCCAGGAAGGAGAGAGGGAGAGGGAGAGGGAGAAGAGAGAGTAGGAGGGAAAGGGAAAGTGGGAGGGGGAGGGGAGAGAGACAGACAGAAAGAGAGAGACAGAGAGAAACTGAGACAGAGAGAAAGAGATAGAGACAGAGACAGAGAGACAGAGAGTAAAAGCCTGAGGGTAAGCTCGACCCTTCAAAGGCTTCTTCCCAGTATTTTATATTATCCCAGAAGGCCCCACTTCCTAAAATTTCATTCAACTAATGAATCCATCAATGGATTAAGCCACTTAATGAAGCTACAACCCTCATGATTCAATCATTTCTATAGCTTATCAGCTGAAAACCAAATCTTCAACACAATGAGGTTTGTTTGTTTTTTTGTTTTTTTGGTTTTTTTTTTGGTTTTGTTTTGTTTTGTTTTGTTTTGTTTTGTTTTGTTTTTTTGGTGCATTCTGGATTCCAAACATGACACCTCCTTAGAACAGCAGCAGCTTACTCTTGTCATGCCATGTGACATTAAAATTTTTCAGGATGTAAAATATTATGCTAACGTTTTCTCTGTGCTTTCATTTAAAATGTCCATTTCAATGTTGATAGGGTAGTTGACAATATGTATGGGATTTTAGTTGAAATCATCTGATATATATGTTCAAGAACCATAGGGCTAGTTTCTGTTCTTAGATTTGTTGTCTCTAACACTTTCAAATTGGAGGTATGGTTCTCCATTAATTGCTGAAATAATTCTGGATAGTTAGGGTACAGTGGTGCAGTCTTTTCTAGGGAGCTCATTCCTGAATGAAAAATTAAGTGCACACTTCCTGTTTCTGTTCTCTGGATTATGTTATGTTGATGTCTCCCTGTCATACTTGTTTGTTTTTTTTCTATAATTTTATTGTGAAACAAATAGCAATGAGACAGATTCAAACCAAATTGGTAGGACAGTTTCAATAATTAACACATTGTATACTCTCTTCCTACTGGTTAATTGCTGTACAAGATGCGGACATGATATCCTATTTACAAACACCATTAGAAAAAATACGTCTATTCATTAAGAGAATGTAACTATATATCTATCCTAACCACTTTAAATACACAGATACAAAATGCACATTCATCTATATCCCCATTTTTTGTTAAGTTCCGTTACTTGAATATTATAGGTGTGTAAACTCAGCAAAATATTCTAAAAGAGTCCAGTATTCCATAATAGTATTGGGTCTTCCACTTCACTGGCAATGTCAGAAATTGTTGACCTGAGTCCTCTACAGCTCAACATAACAGCATGGCTTTACTTCTTATATTTTGTTTTTATACTTTTCTGCTAGATGGTTAAGATCAAGGTAAAGCAGGACCTATGTAACAAGAGTTGTAGCTTTTGGGTCTGATAAAAATCAATGAAATCCCCTCAGGATTTATCCTGAGATCCTGTGCCTCAGATTGTAGAACCTTTGTCAGTGTCAGCCATGTGGATGAGTCATGGCCATTGCTTGGCCAATGTGCTGTCTATGAAAGCCTGAGAGAATGTTTTATCTCCATGTGACTCTCCTTAGGCACACTCTACATCATCGCTCACTTTCCTCTTTGGCCACATAATCTCCTTGATCAGAAAATTTGGGACACTACCGAGTTAGGATGTGAAAACATCATATCATAGGGATATATGTGTGCCTATATTCATAGTAGCACAATTTGTGATAGCCAAATCTTGGAAACAACCAAGATGCCCATCACCCGAGGAATGGTTGAAAAAGATGTGGTATTTTTACACAATGGAGTATTATTCAGCGAGTAAGAATGATAAACTTGAAGTTTTTATATTGAAGTGGATGCCACTTGAAGATATACTCACAAGTAAAATAAACCAGACACACATGTGTAAATATTGTATAGTTTCTCTAGTATAAGAACTCCCTATCATACTTGTAACATTATATGTGAGAATATACCCCAGTCAGCTCCAGTAACCCACCTGTTTATTCCTAGATGTGCCCTGAGGTTTCATACCTAAGCTTTTTCCCCTTTTGAGATATTTCCTATATGAAGCTTTCAGAAAAGACTCTCCCTAGAGATTATGTGTACCCGTTCTTGTTCCTCAAAGGCATGCATGATTTCCTTCTGAAGATTCAGCTTTTCTACTCTGCCTAAGTCCTGGAAACTGAACTAAGAATGTTGTTCCTCGGCTCCTCTGTGCTGCCTTAACTTCTATTTATCGTTTTATGTTGAGAAATATCAGTATCCTGTACTAATACACTCACCTTACTTCTCTATCACCCAGTTTTCCTTATTAGTTCTTGTACTCAAGACCATTTATTTTAAAAGACAGAGGACTGCAAAGGCTTTCCAGAACTCAGGATAGGTCCTTTACATTACCTATATTAAAAATAAGTGCTTGGTCTCTGACTTAAGATACAAGAGAATAATTTTCATAAAAATCAGATCTTCAAATCAGTAAGTATGAAGCAGTATATATCTGCACCAATCCTATTTTCTTCAGGATTTGTATTTTAATGTAGAAGGGGGAAATGTTAAGAATGCATTTGCTAAATTTAATACTAAGATTATTTAGAGAAAATCTTATGTTTCATATGAAACTAAATATTTTTAAAATTTCACTGTTTCTTTGAGAGTTACCAAACAAGGTATTGGGAGCAATTTGGGACACTTCATGATGGTTTGTCCCTATGCCTGATACACTTTGACTTAACAGGGATTTGGTGTAACCTATTCTTTTTGCATAATAGATTATCTTGCTTAATACAAAGAGTAAGTATAATACACCACACACACATACACACTACAGTCCAACCCCTGGGGCATGCAAAGGGAGAGTCTAGTGAAAATCTGTTGTGTGGGTTGTGCCACTCCACTGCTGTGATATGGTAGTCTGTTCCTAACCATTTGTAAGTATTGCCAGCAAAGCAAACATGCCTGCCTTAAATACACATTTGGACATCCAGGCGATTTCAGCAAAAGAGCCCAAATTGTTATTTTGCTGTATTACCACCTGTTCTCTCTTTGTGTTGACTCATTATGCCAACACACTATAATATGTTTAAAAGTTAAATTAATCGTACTTCATTCTAACTTAATGTTTAAATTAGAGAGCACACAGCCTGCTATGTATTTTTTAAGGAATATTCTGGAACAGAGTTGATGCTGACTTTTAAACTTCCAAACTTTAGACCAACACACATGTTACACAACAAAGCTATGTAATGTTTTTGGCACCATGTGGGAAACTAGTTCTCGTAAAATAAGTGTGCCACGATCATTTGAAAATCCAGTTGCAATAATAACCCATAATTATCTGCAGCTACAAATATAAACACAAACTGGGAAGAATGGACAAAATTATTAATGACATTTGGGTACTCAGAAGATTATAATATTTAAGGTAAAGCAGCTATTAGTGAGATTATAATAATAGCATGTTTTCTTGACAGCTAGGGATAACAGGACTAATAGAGCTGCTATGTGTTTTTATCACATGGTCAAATTGTGGAATATAGGCAGGAATAAAAATTTTATGTAGTATAAGCAGTAATAAGAATCCACTACAGAGAGGTGGTCTTTATTTTTCAAAATCCATGGTGAGTGAGAAACTATGTGTACATTGGTTTCCACAAGGAATCTTTCAAAGAAGAGAAGGCAAAAGGAAGCTGAAAGGCACTACAAAAATCATCCAGGAAC